GGCGGATCTAGTGGCCTTCGGCCTATCCCGCCACCGTGCCTGGGTTTTGGGTTAGAGGCTACTTGTATGTGTGGCGGGATCTCGTGGCACGCCTCTCGGGGGCCTGTGGAAGGCAGTTTTGAAGCCCCTTGGGGGCCGTTTTGGGGCCTCTGGGGGTCTTTTTGAGGCCTCCTGGGAGCCTCTTGGGGGCTCGTTGGGGAGTCGAGGGGGCTTCTAGGGGCCTCTGGAGGCCTCTTCGGGCACTCTTGGGGCTTTCTGGGGCCCCTGGGGAGGGAAGCGAAAATTTTGGTATCTTTGGTCGCCCTCTTGTGCCTCTCTTGGTGCCGTCTTGGAGCCCTCTCGGACCGTCTTGGGGGCCTCTTGGGCCGTCTTGGGGCCGTCTTGGGCCGTCTTGAGGCCGTCTTGGGGCCGTCTTGGGGGCCTCTTGGGCCGTCTTGGGGCGGTATTCGGGGCCTCTTGGTCTGTCTTGGAGCGCCGGGAAGACGAAAAGGCGAGAATGTAAAAAACACATCGACCAACACATAGAAAATCAACAAATTTAGCCGCTCGGGGCCCTCTTGGTTGGCTTCTCGGGAGCCTCTAGGGCCGTCTTGGAGGCCTCTAGGCCCGGGCCCCCCCCCCCCCCCCCCCTTTTTTTGGGGGGGCCATCATGGGGCTGTTGGAGCGCTCGTTTGGGCGTCCTCGGGGCCCTCTTGGTCCGTCTGTGGGGGCCTGTTTGGGGGTCCTCTTGGCCCGGGGGCAGCTTTTGTCGTCCAAAAGCCCCCCATGTCCTTGACGCGAAACACCGCAGACTGCGCGAGAGCGCGCGAGAGCTCCCAGGAGCGCCTGGGGGAAAACCTGGGGGTCCGGGAGGAGGAGGAGGAGGGAGGAGGAGGAGGAGGGAGGAGGAGGAGGAGAGAAGGGAGGAGGAGGAGAGGAGGAGAGGAGGACAGGGATGACAGATTGCGACCCCGGTTTTTATTTGTCGTCGCCTGCCGGCTGAGCCGGCAATGATGGGGGGGGAGGGAGGCGGTGGTGGTGGTGGGAGGAGCGGGGTGCAACTTATGGATTAACAAAGGGGAAGGAAAAGGAGGAGGGGAGGAAGAGGAAGGAGGGAGGAGGAGGAGGACGGCAGCAGGAGGAGAGAGGACGAGGGAGTAACAAATTGCGATCCCGGTTTTATTTTCTTCGTCTGCCCGGCTAGCCCGGCAATGATGGGGGGGAAGAGCGGGTGTTGGGTGGTGGTGAGGATCGGGTGGAGGAGGAGGAGGAGTAAGTAGGAGGAAGGAAAATAGGGGCAGGAGGAGGAGGACGAGGAGCAGCAGGAGGAGGAGGAGGACGAGGGATGACAAGATTGCGATCCCGGTTTTATTTTCTTGTCTGCCGGCTAGCCGGGCAATGATTGGGGGGGAGAGCGGTGGTGGTGGTGCGGAGCGGGTGGAGGAGGAGGAAGGTAAAAAGGGGCAGGAGGAGGAGGACGAGGAGCAGCAGGAGGAGGAGGAGGAGAAGGACGAGGTACAAGATTGCGATCCCGGTTTTATTTTCTCGTCTGCCCGGCTAGCCGGGCAATGATGGGGGGGGGGAGCGGTGGTGGTGGCGAGGAGCGGGTGGAGAAGGACGAAGGTAAAAAGGGGCAGGAGGAGGAGGACGAGGAGCAGCAGGAGGAGGAGGAGGAGGACGACGAGGAGGAGGACGACGAGGGATGACAAGATTGCGATCCCAGTTTTACTTTCTCGCGTGCCCGGCCGGCCGGGCAATGATGGGGGGGAGAGCGGTGGTGGTGGTGAGGAGCGGTGGAGGATGGAGGAGGAAAAAGGGGCAGGAGAGAGGACGAGGAGCACAGGCGGAGGAGGAGAGACGAGGGCTGACAGATTGCGATTCCGTTTTTATTTCTTCTTGTCTGCCCCGCTAGCCGGGGCAATGATGGGGTGGGAGAGCGGTGGTGGTGGTGAGGAGGAGGAGGAGGAGGAGGAAGGAAAAAAGGGGCAGGAGGAGGAGGATGAGGAGCAGCAGGAGGAGGAGGAGGAGGAGGAGGACGAGGACGATGAGGGATGACAAGATTGCGATCCCGGTTTTATTTTCTTGTCTGCCCGGCTAGCCGGGCAATGATGGGGTGGGAGAGCGGTGGTGGTGGTGAGGAGCGGGTGGAGGAGGAGGAAGGTAAAAAGGGGCAGGAGGAGGGGGACGAGGAGCAGCAGAAGGAGGGGGAGGAGGACGAGGGATGACAAGATTGCGATCCCGGTTTTATTTTCTCGTCTGCCCGGCTACCCGGGCAATGATGGGGGGGGAGAGCGGTGGTGGTGGTGAGGAGCGGGTGGAGGAGGACGAATGTAAAAAGGGGCAGGAGGAGGAGGAGGACGAGGAGCAGCAGGAGGAGGAGGAGGAGGAGGACGAGGGATGACAAGATTGCGATCCCGGTTTTATTTTCATGTCTGCCCAGCTCGCTTATCTTGACGGCGCTTCTAGATTTTGGGTCAGAGGATGCCTGGCTCCAGCCTTTGTGTGTGCTCATTGTGGTTGCTGGGCCCAGCGCTGCGCCAGGAACCTGGCCGAGCCTTGCGCAGCCCCGTGCGAGAAAGACATGCCGGTTCTTCGTGAGTATCGCAGTTGTGTGGGGCCAACCAGTAGAGCGAGGCAAGTCATCGACTCTTCCGATCAGGTCAGAAGCCTAGGGGTCAGACGACTGCCGCCACTGTCGTACCCTCGGTTTCCTTTCAGCTCCCGACTGTTCCAGTGTACGAGTAGCGAACGGGAGCGGACTCGGGCTCATGCAGCCCAGGCCGAAAAGCAGGTAGTATTGGTGGCACCATGTCGCTGCCGTGGCGGGCTCCTCATCTCCGCCAGGGTGGCAAAAATCCGATCGGAGGGACGCCCCCTGTTTGTGCCAGGCCCACGAATATCTTCCCTTCGGGGCCGTCGTAGCCTGGTCTCCATCATCCCTCCTCTATCCTTCCTCCTCCTCCTCCTCCTTCTTATCCTCCTCCTCCTCCTCCTCCTCCTCCTCCTCCTCCTCCCCCTCCTCCTCCTCCTCGTCCTTCTCCCCGCTCCTCCTCGCTCCTCCCCGCTCCTCCTCCTCTTCCGCCTCCTCCGCCTTTCCCTCCTCCTCCTTCTTTTGTTCCCTCCTCTTTCTCCTCCTCCTCCTCCTCTTCCTCCTCCTCCGCCTCTTCCTTCTCTGCTGCCCTCCTCTTCGCTTTTCCTCCCTCTTCCTCCTCGCTTCTCCTCTGCCTCCATGACACCGTCCTCGTCGCCCACCCTCCCGCGCCGCGGGGCGCACAGGAACCCGAGCCCAAGCACAGCGGGCGGCCGAAGCGGGCCACGGAGGCGCGGCTGCGCGTTGCGGGCGGCCGCGTCGTCGTCGTCGTCGTCGTCGTCGTCGTCGTCGTCGTCGTCGTCCCCGCTGACAGCGAAGTCGTCGCGGTCTTTGTCGCTCTCCAAGTGCGTCGTCGTCTTCGTCGTCGTCTTCGTCGTCGTCGTCGTCGTCGTCGTCGTTGTCGTCGTCGTCGTCGTCGTCGCAATCGTCGTCTTCGGCGTCGTCGTCCTGGTCGTCGTTGACAGCGAAATCGTCGCGATCTTCGCGGCCCTCGAAGTGCGTCGTCGTCGTTTGCCGCCGCCGTCGCCGCCGCCGTCGTCCTGGCTGTCGTCATCGTCGTCGTCGTCGTTGACAGCGAAGCCGTCGCGGTTTTCGTCACCCTTGGAGTGCGTCGTTGGCCTTTGCCGTCGCCGTCGCCGCCGCCGTCGTCCTCGCTGTCGTCGTCGTCGTCGGCGTCGTCGTCGTTGTCGTCGTTGACAGCGAAGTCGTCGCGTTCTTCGTCGCTCTAGTGCGTCGTTGTCCTTTGCCGTCGCCGTCGCCGCCGCCGTCGTCCTGGCTGTCGTCATCGTCGTCGTCGTCGTTGACAGCGAAGTCGTCGCGGTCTTCGTCACCCTTGGAGTGCGTCGTTGGCCTTTGCCGTCGCCGTCGCCGCCGCCGCCGTCGTCGCTGGCGTCGTCGTCGTCGTCGTCGTCGTCGTCGTCGTCGTCGTCGTCGGTCGTCGTCATCGGTCGTTGTCGTCATCGTTGTCGTCGTCGGAGGTGGAAGAGGAGAGGGGCTCATCATGTGGTGAAGAGTGCGAACACGGGTGTCCACAACTTTGTTCGGTCGGCTGCGTCGCAGTCTGGTGCAGCTGGTTACTTTTTGATTCGGTTCTGTCGGTTGTTGCGCCCTGGGGCTATTCTCGGCGGCTTTCGGTCTGTCGGTTTCAGCATCGTCGTCGCTGTTGTCGTTGTCGTTGTCGTTGTCGTTGTCGTTGTCGTTGTCGTTGTCGTTGTTGTTGTTGTTGTTGTTGTTGTTGTTGTTGTTGTTGTTGTTGTTGTTGTTGTTGTAGGTGTGGTCGTCCACCTCGACCACGTTGTTTTCTTTCTCCTCGCTCCTTTCTTCTCGCCCTACCTCCCTCCTGCTTATCTTCTCTCCTCCCACTCCACCCCATTCCTCCTTCTCCCTTCCCTCATTTTCCGCTCCTCTTCCTCCTCTTTTTCCTTTTGCCCAGAGGATCAAGAAGGCATGATAATGCTGCGCTCAAGGATTTCCTGGTGTTCTGGCGGGACTCCAGAAATGATGGTGCCAGATGCTCTGGAATTCGTGGAGCGTGTCCTGAGCCAATCGTCGGGGGTCCCCAAACGTTTCGGTGACCACACCGTTTCATGCCCTGGAGTTCGTGGTGCGTTTCCTGAGCCAATCGTCGGGCGTCCCGAAACGGTGCGGTGACCACACCGTGCTGTGAGTCAACGGTGATTTGAGGCCAGCGGACCGTTTTGGGCCGTTCTCCGACGGATGCCTCGGCGGCCAGGGTCCGCAGAGTCCCCAGAGATGGTGGTGACTGACCGTACGGTGAGGTTTTTTTGTTGATCTCGAGACCACCGCACGGTTCTGTCACCGCACCGTATCCCAGACATGCAATGTCCTGCTTTTTCGTTTCGACCCTTTCCCCAGGGCCATTCTTTCATCGCGAGTCGTTTTGGACGGTCCTGGGGCCCAGCGAGGGTTCCTGGAAGCCAGAATTTATCAACAAACAATTTCCCGTCGTGTTTTTTCCCCGGCGCGAGCATTTCATGGACTGTCCTACGTACTTTCCCCTCCTTCTCTTCTCTTCTCTTCTCCTCCTCCTCCTCCTCGCGTGCGCCGCTGCCGTCTGCTCGAGCACCCCGCACCTGATCCCGAACCCTGACTGGTACCTTCGAGGCTGCCGGGGCAGACGCACGGGCACCTGTACAGTCCATTCGACGCTTTCCAGCAGCCTCGAGCCCGACGAGGGGGGGGGGTTCGGTGTCAAATCGTGGGAGCCCCGTGTGTCCTCAGGATTCTGCCTTTTCGAGTGCGTCGGCGTGCGCTGGCGTCCGGGATTCGATGGGAGAGCGCCGATTTCGTCGGTTCGCTTCGGTGAGCATCGATGCGCAAGAGCCGGCAGGATGGCCCTCTGGGAGGCTCCCACGAGTTGCCAGCGAAGAGGGGGGGGGTCGTAGAGTAACAGTCAGGACGCGCACAACAAAAAATAATAATAAAAAAAATAAAAATGTTTGACGGACCGCACGGCTTTCTCGGGTCTGTACAGGGAGTGGTGTGGGGGTCACTCCTGACGGAACGCGCGGATTTCTCGTGTCTGCGCCAGGGGGGGGGGGAGGGCACGCCCTTTGTTGGGATATGATGGGGCAGGAGGCCGTGCCCCGGGCCTCGGGTACAGGAGCTTCGGAAGTATGCGTCCTTTGAGCGAGGAAGATGATAGAGCATGACGATGGTGAT